CCTTATGTTATTTAGCAAGTACAACAATACTACAAAGTCAACGTTGTTGGTACTACAAGTCCATGTTGCTTTTCTTTCAGGATGAAATTCTAGAGATTATGAGAATGATACATTCTCATAAGTCCTTATTTCATTATGAGATCATTGTTTCAAAAAGCTGATCACTTTTTATAAAATGGTTCATTCAGGGTAGATTAATAACTGCAAGAACACTATATCTTAAGAGAGAAAAGAGATATTTGATTCACACATAACAGTAAATCTAAATGATGCTTCTTTTTTCTTGAGCTGTTTATTTTTCTATTACAGTCTTAATATGTCTTGAGTAAATGATCCAGCATATGTGAACTCTGTCACAGTGCTTTCTTTAACTAAACATGGCTCTGAAATCTAATAAGGATTGGAGAAAATGTTTTACCTTATAACTCTTCAGGATACAGGTTGATTGGTGGCCCCTATTCTCAGGGCTACTCTTTCATATAAACAATACAGGTCGTATTCCATCGGATGGAACATTGCCATTATAGTCCCTATATATGAAAAATGAAACAAAGATAACCCCAAAAATTATGTACTAGTAAGCCTAATTGGAATCATGGCTGACATGTATGCAAAACTGTATGCCCGCCTCCACCAATGTTGTCCTGTCCCTGATTCCAATGCAGCAGACAAGACATGGATACCCAAAGGTAAGCAGCAAAATGTCCAGATCTGCATAAAGGTGTTAGATGGGATTGTATTTCATCTAGTCCCAATGATTTTTAAGCCAATATGTCGGTGATATTCTAGGATTCATTTATGCTTCAGACATTCACATGTCAAAGATTCATGATAAATTTATTACAGGTACTACTTAACATACCACTGTAAGTTACAATGGGTTGTTAAGTAAAGTGACTATATGACCTTGTTCTCCCTAATGTGGTCATTAAGTGGAGCACGGGATGCCTCAGAGGTGAGGGAGGCTTGGAAAGCCTAGTATAGGACCAATCCCTCCTGCCATGGGGTGCCTTCCTCACCCTCTGAGGCACGCCATGCTTCATTCCCAATCATTGGAGGCTTTGGATCTGCTTCCAACCTCCTCCCCCCACCACTACCCTCCTCCACCTGTCTCACTAATCACATATGTACCTTTGGAAGATCTCTGGAGGTCATATTGGGAAGGAGGGCAGGCCACTTTGTCCTTGGTCACACTGCAGGATCAATGGCTTTGTCCTGGAAGCGTGTGCCATTTTCGGAGCAGCCACAATTCATTGAATGCATTGAAGCCACATGGTCTTCAGGAATATATCATGTAAAGGCAATGTATTTATCTGAATGCCGAGTCTTTGTATTTACCACTTAATGTATTTTCTTATTGTATTTTCTTTTATTTATTTTACCCTGGAATTAGATCTGGTATTTTACTTTCATTTTTTACTTTGATATAGTTATAGGGATAATTGATTAATTAAATTACTACTAGACCTGATAGTCTACTTTGTCACCATTATTCTGGAGTGCAGAGCAAACCCATAATATTCTTGCAGGACTATTCTGATTGTAAAAACATATTTTTACACTGATAAGAACTCTAATGGCAGTAAGCAAAACAACCAATTATTCAGACCAATAGGTTCTATTAAAAAGCATAAGCTACATATTACTTAATTTGATTTTGAGTACCATATATATCTCCTGCAATGTCTACAAAACAATTCATTGCTGTAAATTGACTGTCTCACCTGAGATAAATCTGTCCTTTGTATTAAAAAAGTGTGAGATAATGTATATAGATTTTTCATTTGAAAGTAAATGTATTGTAACCCTCTATCTTCATTTTAATTATGACATAGTTGTGAGATTTGTGTGCTCTGAGGAAGATGACAGTTATGCAAAGGTTCAGCCATACTGGATAGTCTTATCAGAGAAGTCAGATAAAAAGTGTTTCCCATAAAAAAATATGGTGAGACATAAATTACAGAAATCCATACCAGCTTGTTTGTCGCCCAGCTTAACAGGATCCGCACTAGATTTTGCAGTTCCTGGATATCGGGTGAAAAATGGACTACAGCAGAGGTCCCCAACCTTTTGGGCACCAGGGACCAGTTCCGTGGAGAGAGGTTTTTCCGTGGACCGGAGGGGACATGGTTTTGTGTGCTGCCTGCATCCCGTGGATGGGGCTTTGTTTATGCGGACTGGTTGCTGGCATGCCACGGCCCAGTATTGGCCCACGGACCGGGGATTGGGGACCCCTAGGCTACAGGACTCAGGATAGTTGGCTGAGCAACCAAGACCAACAGCTACAGAGGTACTGGAAGAAAAGGTGTTCTCCAGTCACAAATATACAGTGATTGAAAACAAAGAAATAATCTGTTATTACAATTCAAGTCCAACAAGAATAGGTTATTTGAAATGATTGCACCAATTCTGGAAAGAACAATTTCCAGAATCAGAAATAATGAGGCTAGCAGATCAACATCAATTTATAATACAAAATAAAATATTCACAGAAACAGAAAGAATTGTGAAGGTCCACCCTGACCAAAGATATCAAAGCCTTGCCAGAAATAACCCCGAATGTAAAGGCAAACAAGGGGTTTTGGCAGTAAAGGAATCCAGTAGAAATATAGAATTGTTTTCATTTGGAAACAGGCACCCTCTTCTCCACCTCAGAAAGAACAAAGCCCTCAAACTAAAGAAGTAGAAGAATTTAATAGAAGAATAACTGAGCACCTAGAACAGCACAAAAACATCAGAATAAAGCTGCCTGCATTGAAGCTTGCTCCAAAGAAAGAGCTAGCACAAACATTAAAAGATGCAAATATTACTATATCAAGTAAAAGAACCATCTCACTTCAAGAAACAAACCAACTAATTCCAAAGATGCTTTTTTTCATGAGGCAACTAGACTTTCTTGTTTTTCTTTGAAGACATTTCGCTTGTCATCCACGAAGCTGATCTTCAAAGAAAAAATAAGAAAGTCGAGTTGCCTCATGAAAAAAAGCATCTTTGGGATAACTATGACCTGGATGACTGCGAATTTCCATAAACCAACTAATGTACAGCACAGCTGCAATTATAACTGAATACCTGGGGTGCAAAATCAACAAAGAAGAAAAAAGCCAAACAGTACACCGCCAAACAGTACACCACCAAAATGGAAGATCAGACCAAAATGGAAAATCGGATCAGCAAGTTGAGATTAGATGCAAACAAGTTACAACAGGTGAAAGAAATCAGCAGATATAAAGCTTGAATTGTAAATTATAGGCAGAACCTCCAGTTTCAATCCAATTAGAAACATTTCTACCAATCCATCAATGGAGTGATCGCAGTGAATCAGTCAGACCTGACAAGGAAGAAACAGTGCAGTTCCGCATGCAGATATGGGATAACCCAAAAAATACAAGAAAGAAACAGTTTGGTTAAAGGATGTGGATAAGAATAAAAAAAGCTGAAATGAAAGAACCAGTAATAACAGCAGAAATAATAGAGAAAAGAGCAAGGAAGATCAAGAATTAGTCAGTACTTGGGGAAGATGAACTGCGTAGTTTTTGGTTGAAACATTTGACTGGTCTATACTCAGTTTAACAACACACTGCAAAAAAAGTGAAACTGAAGAGTAGCTAACCTCTGGCAAAACCTACCTGGTAATGAAAGATCCCAGCAAAAGGGGCAGTACCAGGTACCTACAGGTCATTTACCTGCTTACCAACAACTTTCAAATTGCTAACTGGTGTGATAGGTGATGCAGTCCGGTAGCATCTTGAAAACAAACTTTCCATCTGAGCAGAAAGGAAACTGCCCAAACAGCAGAGGAACAAAAGATTAACTCCTAATTGACAAGATGATTTTGAAAAACTGCAAGAGAAGGAAGACCAACTTGAATGTAGCATGGACTGATTACAGAGAGGCATTCGACTCTCTGCCATATGATTGGATAATCAAGTGCCTAGAAATAACAGGAGTCAGTAGAAACAATAGAAGCTTTGTGAAAAAATTGATGGCACAATGGGAGACATAGTTGCAGGTCAATGATGAGAGATTGAGAGAAGTTAATATCAATAGAGGAATATTTCAGAGAGACTCACTATCACCTCTACTGTTTATCATTTCACTGATTTCTCTGTCAACAATACTGAATAACTCAGACCATGGCTATCAAACATCAAAAACATCTGCTAGATCCTACCTCCTTTACATTTACTTTACATCATGTCATTTATGGATGATCTGAAGCTGTATGGAAAAAACACCATCTGAAATAGAATCGCTGCTCAACACTGTCCATATATACAGCCAAAATATTGCAATGAAGTTTGGACTGGAGAAATGTGCCACCATCAAACAGAAAAAATAAGTGAAAACTGAAGGAATCAAGATACCCTATGGAAATAACATCAAGAGTCTGGATGAAGTTGATCACTACAAATACCTGGGTATCCTTCAAGCTGACAACATCAAGTATGCTAAAATCAAGAAAAAGATTAGAAGTGAATACAACAAGAGAGTGAAGAAGATTTTAAAAGTCTAAACTCAGTGGATGAAATACCATCAAGGCAATTAACATCTGGGCAATTCTAGTCATTAGATACACAGCTAGAATAGTGGAATGGACTGAAGCAGAACTAAAAGCCCTGGATAGGAAGACCAAAAAAATAATGACAGTGAATCATGCCCTGCATCCGGGATGCATTGACAGACTCCAGCTACCAAGGAAAATAGATGGGCATGGAATGTTGCAAGTACATCAGATCAGGGGTCTCCAACTTTTCTGGCCTTGCATACTGGTGGGGGCCCCAGAGGGGATGGTTCCATGCAAGCCGCGGGTGCCTGCGCTTGTGTGCGCAGCTCCATTTATGCAATTATGGGTTATGTAATGAATAACTGCCATGCATTGTAATGTACTTATAGTTGGTACCTGTATTCAGCAGTTTCGTAATTTTAATATGTCAAGAATATTTTTTTACACAAACTTGGTATCAAATGCTAATCTTGATTATTTCTGTCCATAACAGGTTATGAGGTACATGGTCTTGAAAAACTACCAGATGGACCAGCAATGATTATTTTTTATCATGGAGCAACTCCCATAGACTTTTTCTACTTGTTAGCCACTGTTCTTATCAGGAAAAGAAGAATCCTCCATATAGTTGCTGATCATTTTGTATTTTTAGTTCCAGGTAATTGTCCTGAATAATTAAGAGAAATTATTTATACATCTGAAATAATGTACTGTATGGATAAGCTTTACTTCATAGTTAGGTTGTGATATATATTGCAAGATAGCAGTAAACTAAATTATTTTTTTATTTTTATTTTTTTTATTTTAAATAACAATTGATTCAACTACTAATTATTCAATTATTCTGGCTTGTTAAGATTTAATTTCCTATCCTGAAGTCTTATGTAACTGCACTCTAAAGAAACTTAGATATACCATTGTATCAGTTTTGGATTTCAAATTTCTTATCATGAAGCCTTTTGCAGCTACTGTACATTACAGTTAAATTGTTTCCGGGTATTGATAGTTGAGGGAAAGTGCTTTTTAAATAATCAATATGATGTAAACTTTACAGCATAAATATATATATACTGCATAAACTATATAAAGATATTTAATTGATAGATTTCTTATCAGGATAAATTTTCATTATAAAAAAATTATAAATTTATAATTCTTATCACTGAGTGTTGATTTGAAGATATTTCATTACATATGGATTGGTGAAAATTTAATCCTTTTTGTCTTTCTCATAATTTACATCTGCTTTGTAGTTCATTGTTTATTCTGTATTTTTCTGATAAAATATAGTATCTGTGGAGAGATCATAATTTTATATCAATATTAGTCCTACAACAGATTCTTATGAATTCCAGGTATACAGTTATTAATTAATGTGTTCCATGCTCTGCATGGATCTCAAGAAGAATGTAGAAAAGTATTAGAGAATGGAGAACTGGTGCTAATTTCACCAGGGGGAGTACGGGAAGCACTGTTCAGTGATGAAAATTATACTATTATGTGGAGAAATCGCAAAGGATTTGCTCAAGTGGCCATTGACGCGAAAGTAGTAAGTATTCTGTGGGAGTAACTGGAATATAAGATTACAGCTGATTATGTATACCATGCTTAGAAATATAATATTTCTGACAATAAACCCTTTCTGGTAAACTTTAAGCAATATGAAACAATGTGATGGAGAGAGGTGATTCAGCCAAATTAGAAACAGTCCAGTGTCCTATAGTGATCTTAGGGGGTTGGACTGATACTAAGGAAACTCAACCCATCCTCAGTCACAGATTCTTGGGCCAGTCAGTATTCAGTCTACCTCACAGTACTTATTTTCAGCACCTTTTATAGATATAATTTTAGTTTGTTAACTTTCTAAAAAGTATTATGTGAAACTTTATTTACTCCTAAAAGTATGTTTTGTATGCACAATTGAAACGTATTTTTTAAACAATTGCATATTTATTGATTTAGTTTATTTTAAATTTTGTTCCAAATACATATACAAACTGCTGAATTCTAAGAAATATAGCTTCTCTTCATTTTAGTTAAAGAAGCAGGAAAGGGAAATGTTACTGTTGAAAAACGTGTAGTTTAAAAAAATGTATTTTTTACTTTATACATTACTGTATCAGAACTGTTGAAGTGAGGGAGGAGAGACACACACACAAGTCTCAGACTGTATCTATGGAGTTTCTTTGCTTTCTCTCTTTGCTTTACAGAATCTGAGGTATCAGATTATACTTACTCTGATCCTTTTAAAAAATAATTTCCACAAATTTCTAGAAATTAATGAAATGTGTTCCTTGAGCATGTTCGTTTCTGTATCAGTTTGGTATGCTTCCTTAATGTAAACCAATTTAATTTACATTTTAATCATTTAGTATATTATTTTTTAAAAATCAATTAAAAGTAGTGCATGCCCTTCTTCAAATTTCTCCAATTTTTCAGAAAAAAGAAGTTAGGGAAATGTTTTCTAGTCTGCTCCTCTGTTTGGCTTTTCTTGCCATATAAAAGCAGCTGATATAACCCTTTTATAACTGTATACACATTAAAAAGAGTCATAACCATTTATGCATTAAAAAGGGCAAGATGAGAATGTATCTCTTCAGATTTTTCAATACAATTTTCCCATAATATTTATATAAATAATATGGCATTATGTACTGTGATAATTTTTACTTAATACCACATTAATGCTAATTAATAGCTGACATTGAACAATTCAAATACTGGTACTCCAAAATTTTATGAATCAAATTCTAATATACTCTATCTGTGGCTTATTTTATGTTTCCTTTGGTTGGTATGATACTTTTTTAGGGAGAAATGCATCACTGTTAGGACTGCAGAGTCTTGACAGGGACAAATTAAAAAGCCAGGTGGTAGCAAAAACCTGTTTTTTAAGCATTGAAGCAGATACAGTCCTCAGATGCTTCTGTGGGTTTTCAGGAACCTTCCCAGATGTATTGCACAACTGCTTTGCTTTGAGGGTATTCCCACTGAAAGTATTGCCTTGCATACATTTATAGAAACTTAAAAAAGTTAAACTTAAAAAGTTCTTCAAAGAGTTGTCTGAGCTTCCAGACACAGAAGCTGAATGAATGTTTTCAAGCATGAATGCTTTGCTTGTGCCAACAGATTTTGCAAAATGCCTCTCCCATTCTTAAAGCAGACAAAATTATTATTACCAGCATCTCAGATTTCTCCATAACATCTTTGATGAAAATGAACATTTGAGAATATCCTAGATAACTTTCTATTTCGTTAACTGCTTGCAGGACAAGGTTGCTTTTCTGAAATGTGGAGAACTTCATACATAAAAGAGCAGTGCAAAAATTTAATATATTTAACATTCTAGCTCAAATATTCTCAGAGTGCAGACCTATAATTCCTATAGATTGAAGTTGCAATAATGGGAGACTTATCTAACTTTGTATTGAGAAGGTTGGATTGAGAATGAATGACTAAGACTCAAATTCCCTGTAAGTTACAAAATTCACCCACTGAGTGCTTGCAAAAAAAGGAAAAAGATACTTTAGTTTCTTGGAAATGTGACTAAGAAATAGTTTCCTATACTGGTATATAACTTTGTGATTTAGTATAAAATCAGTTGATTATGGGAAATAATTTGTTAATATGTTATCTCCTTTATTCTTTCAGCCCATCATTCCCACGTTCACACGAAATATTCGGGAACATATTCGAATAGTTGGAGGACAAATAAGTATGCAACTTTGTTTGGATTGGATTGTATTAAATCATTTGTGATTATATTTTGTTGGTCCTAATTAATGCTCATTTTGGCTCTGTTATGCCCATAATGCTGGATATGATTTTAAATAAAATGCTCTGGTTTTTAATATCATGTTCTAATATATAAATAAGCTGCTTGGTCTCTTGTACAAGAAGAAACTATTGTTAATTCATTTATATATTGTCTTTCTATGGCAGCTGAAAGCAACATAACTGGATTTCCCATTTTTAATACCAGATCAGCAGTATGAATCTGTCACAATGTAAAGTTGTCCTGAGACTGCATGAAGGACAGATGCAAAATTAAGTACCCTAGATGGATCCATGTTCATCTCTTTAATCACTGCATTACAGTCTGGGCATGTAGAATTTGTTGGCTATTCTGCATGACAATAGAGAATCTTTTATCATTTACTTTTGAGATTTGATATTTCTCCTTTGAGAGATTACAGTTTGATAAAATAAAAAGATGAAAAAATTGAAAACTCAGCTAGTTTAGTATAGTGGTTAAGGTCCTTGACTAGAAACTGGGACACTCTGAGTTTTAGTATTCTCTTAGGCATAAAACCCTATTGGGTGATTGTGGCTCAGTCACTTTCTCTTAGTCGAACTCATATCACAGGATTGTTATGGAGAAAATATGAGGCAGCAACATTATGTCCAGTATCTTTAATATAAAGCGGATATAAATCAAAATTGTTATTGTTGACAAATTTAACTCGTAAGAACAGTTCTTCTTGATCAAGCAAGAAGCAGCCATTTAGTAGCCAACCAGATAATTTCTACAGAATAAACAGATAGGAGGTGGAAGCATATTCCTCTTTGACCATGAGTCCCTTATAACTGGCATTTAAAAACACAATGTTCCCAATGCAGAGGTAACATTGAGTCTTCAAGACCAATAGCCCTTAATCCTTAGGAGCCATGATGGTGCAGTGGTTACAATGCAGTGTTTCCAGCTAACTCTGCCTACAGCCAGGAGTTCGATCCTGATTAGCTGAAGGTTGATTCAGCCTTCCATCCTTCCAAGGTCGGTAAATTGAGGACCCAGACTGTTGGGGGTAAATGTTGACATTTGTAAACCATTCAGAGAGTGCTATAAAGCACTATGGAGTGGAATATAAGTCTAAGTGCTATTGCTCCCGCTATTCATAGAACTGCCTTCCATCACTTTATACATCTGCTTTTAGAATCATTTGGGTTAGTGGATATCACCAAATTTTATGGTAATGACTTCCATAGGACTCTGGCATAACATCCTTACCTTGTTCTGATTTGTGTTAGGAAGCAACATTGTATAGATTTATGAGAACCTCAATCCTTTTAGGTGAAATTAGAAATGACATCTTCCATGAAGACCACTTCCAGACTCCAAACTTGTTCCAGACCATTACAAACCAGTATAGCGACTAATTGCAAGCAATGCTTCTCCTTGCAGTTACCTCTCTCTTGTCTCCTCTTCTTTCACTACATCCTAGTTTTTAACCCTGGTATCTTTCTCTGTCCTTTAATATTTTAGCAAGCTGCAGTGCAGCTTTAAGTTCCTAATGCAGAGTTCAAGATGGTGCTGGAAGCATTCACTAAATTGCTGTTCAGATTTGTGACAGGAAGCAACTTTATACAGGTTTTGTGATTGAATCACTGCTTCTTGGATTTTTTAAATGAATAAATGGGTAAAAATACATAATTGTACCTGCTACACTATTAATCCCTCTTTTTTTAATTAACCAGAATTATTAAGATCGATATATGAGTATCTTCGTTTGCCACTAGTTCTTCTGTATGGAAACTTTCCAGTTAAACTGCAGACATATTTGGGAGATCCTATTCCATATGATCCAAACATAACAGCAGAAGAACTGACCGAAAAAGTAAGATCTTCCTTTTAGAGTATTAATATCCTTATCAAGGTTACCACGTTAAAATAACCTCGTAATAACCTTGTAAAATAACCTCACAAGGTTAAAATAAAGACTCCTGGATGGATTGCCAAAATACTTTCAGCTTATACTAACTATATGGATGTTTAGAGAACATTTTTGTGATTCAAATTGTGGATCGAAACATAAATTTTTATTCAAATAAATAGTACAAAAACACAGGATTGTTTGAAAATTAAGCTGAATGAAAGATTAGGGAATTCGTCAAAGTTCCCAAAATACAAGGAATTCTTGAGTTTTATTTTTTATGTAGCAGCAGTATTCTCTACTTCTTTTAAATTTTTACTTCTAATTGTTCTTAAATGCATAATGGTCAATTGTTTGTAGTTTAAATTTTTAGGAACTGCTTTTAATTTTTTTATGAATTGATTCTGAACTATTTGGGATTCTTTTTTGTTTTAAAAGTTAGCATATTAATTCATGAGTTCATTAAAATTATAGAAATAAAAATATATTTTACAGTTCAATCATATAGAAGCAAAAGTACATTATGATATAATTTACATAGCCTAAAAAACTTTTGTAGAGCCAAAGAATAAAAGATCAGCTATCAACAATGTGATAGTAAAACTCAGCAGTCAACAGCCATTAGAGATGGTTTTTCAAACCTTTTTAGAAAAATAAAAGTGAAAGGGAGAGCTGCACATCCTTAAAGAGGCAATTCACTGAGGTTGGAACCATTTACAGAAACGATTCTGTTTCTAAGCTCTATCAGTCAGATTAATCTTAGCGCCTCAACAAAATTTCAAATGGACCAGAAGTGATAAGTCCCATCCTACTTGCACTAATTCACTTTTATGAAAAATAATGATTTATTCTTCTTCCCAGATTAGAGTTTGCCTTTGTTCATGAACACTTTTTTCAGTGAAGATGTGGGAAAGAGTATGAAACTATGAAGTCTCCTAAAATTAACTGGTTACTTTTTATAGATGAATAAATTGGGATTTTTATCAATCGTATATAGTTTAATAACAGAATTAATACTCTAAGAATAGTTTAGGACATTATACAGTGAGGGAAAAAAGTATTTGATCCCCTGCTGATTTTGTATGTTTGCCCACTGACAAAGTCTATAATTTTATCAGTCTATAATTTTAATGGTAGGTTTACTTTAACAGAGACAGAATAATAACAAATAAATCCAGAAAAACACATTTCAAAAAAGTTATAAATTGATTTGCATTTTAATGAGTGAAATAAGTATTTAACCCCTTCTCAAAACATGACTTAGTACTTGGTGGCAAAACCCTTATTGGCAATCACAGAGGTCAGACATTTCTTGTAGTTGGCCACCAGGTTTGCACACGTCTCAGGAGGGATTTTGCCCCACTCCTCTTTGCAGATCCTCTCCAAGTCATTAAGATTTCGAGGCTGACGTTTGGCAGCTCGAATCTTCACCTCCCTCCATAGATTTTCTATGGGATTAAGGTTTGGAGACTGGCTAGGCCACTCCAGGACCTTAATGTGCTTCTTCTTGAGCCACTCCTTTGTTTCCTTGGCCGTGTGTTTTGGGTCATTGTCATGCTGGAATACCCATCCATGACCCATTTTCAATGCCCTGGCTGAGGGAAGGATGTTCTCACCCAAGATTTGATGGTACACGGCCCTGTCCATCGTCCCTTTGATGGGGTGAAGTTGTCCTGTCCCCTTAGAAGAAAAACACCCCCAAAGCATAATGTTTCCACCTCCATGTTTGACAGTGGGGATGGTGTTGTTGGGGTGATAGGCAGCATTCCTCCTCCTCCAAACACAGCGAGTTAAGTTGATGCCAAAGAGCTCGGTTTTGGTCTCACCTGACCACAACACTTTCACCCAGTTCTCTTCTGAATCATTCAGATGTTCATTGGCAAACTTCAGACAAGTCTGTACATGTGCTTTCTTGAGCAGGGGGACCATGAAGGCATTGCAGGATTTCAGTCCTTCGCGGCATAGTGTGTTACCAATTGTTTTCTTGGTGACTATGGTCCCAGCTGCCTTGAGATCATTGACAAGATTCTCTTGTGTAGTTGTTGATGATTCCTCACCGTTCTCATGATCATTGAAACTCCACCAGGTGAGATTTTGCATGGAGCCCCAGACCGAGGGAGATTAACAGTTATTTTGTGTTTCTTCCATTTGCGAATAATCGCACCAACTGTTGTCACCTTATCACCAAGATGCTTGGCGATAGTCTTGTAGCCCACTCCAGCGTTGGGTAAGTCTACAATCTTATCCCTGACATCCTTGGACAGCTCTTTGGTCTTGGCTATGGTGGAGAGTTTGAAATCTGATTGACTGATTTGCTATTGTGAACAGGTGGTCAGGCATCCTTTAAGAGAGTGCTCCTAATCTCAGCTTGTTACCTGTAGAAAAAACACCTGGGAGCCAGAAATTTTGCTAATTGATAGGGTATCAAATACTTATTTCACTCATTAAAATGCAAATCAATTTATAGATTTTTTGAAATGTGTTTTTCTGGATTTTTTTGTTGCTATTCTATCTCTCACTGTTAAAATAAACCTACCATTACAATTATAGACTGATCATTTCTTTTGTCAGTGGGCAAACATACAAAATCAGCAAGAGATCAAATACTTTTTCCTCTCGCTGTATTATATAAATAAAGGATTTTGCATTGCTCAATGGAGCTTGGAGTTTCAGAATGCCTTGCCATTCAGCAGAAGACAGAATTCCCTTTTAACAAACACAAAATCAGAGTAGCCCAGTATCAGCATGGCTGAAACCTACTCCTATGTTTATTATTTGATTTTGTAGTGTTTAAAGTATAGATTGTCTAATGAAAACTAATTTCCACAATGAGAAATCTATATATTTTGTATTTGTGTGGGTTCTGTAATTTCAGGGTTAAATTACTGTATGTCTGGTTAATGTTATATTGTATTTTGAAAACGATTCATTTTTCTTTTGATTTTTAAATGTAATTTACCATTGAATTATGCAATAATAATGAATAATTTATATTTCTCATCCTTCATTCCCCTCATAGACAAAGGATGCACTACAATGTTTAATAGACAAACATCAGAAAATACCAGGAAATGTGTGGAGAGCCTTGATAGAACGAGTTTCAACAGAGAAACAAGACAATGAATAACTTTGGCAAATCATTGTGAAAATTTTTGAATGATATTTTAATGTGATATATTATTTAAGAATTGTTACAATAGTTTTTTATTTGCTGTGCAAATGTATAATTTTACAGAAAACCAGACTTTGAAGATCATTGTTACATGTATTGCTCAGGAAAGTAAACCTTTCAGTATAAATACTTTGTTTTCACAGAAATAAAACTATAGTTTAAAAACCACAATCCTAATTTGGAATAAGATGTAAACATGATTTTTAGGCTTTTTGAAAATGCATCAAATATATAGCATATTTCTAGTACTTCTTAAATTAAGTGTAAGCTTTAAATGGATTGGGACTAAATTTCGTATTTTTTTATAAAACTTGGATATTTTTTTTATTCCATGTATTCTCCAATGTAGTAGAAGTTCTCTTTGATTCCTCTATTAAATCAGACTTGCGCTAATTCATTTTTATGAAAAATATATTGGATCATGTAATTAAAAGGAACTTTTAGTTGGGTATAATTTTGAATAATTTTAAAGCATAAAATAATATTTAACGGTATCTTTCTTGGACACAATAGGAAATCTAATTCTATTACACCTTGTTCTGTTTAAGAAAAAAATTGCAACAATTGACATTCTTATACAGGTAATTCTCAACTTACAACCACAATTGAGCCCAAAATTTCTATCACTAAGTGAGACAGTTAAGTGAATTTTGCCCCATTTAACCATCTCTCTTGCCACAATTGTTAAGTTAAGTCACTGCAATTGTTAAGTTAGTAACACGGTTGTTAAGTGAATCTGCCTTCCCCATTGACTTAGCTTGTCAGAAGGTTGCAAAAGATGATCACATGACCCTGGGACTCTGCAGTCCTCATAACTGTGAGTCGATTGCCAAGCATCTGAATTTTAATCATGACCATGCGGATGTTGCAATGGTCATAAGTGTGAAAAATGGTCATAAGTCACTTTTTTTAGTGCCGTTGTTACTTTGAACACTAAATGAACTGTTGTAACTCGAGAACTACCTGTATAGACATTCTTTCTTTTATAGGTCGTCTCCTGATATCTAGTGTAATCTTCCCACAGGCAAGATTACTTTTATTTCCTTTTTACTTCACTTAATTTACTTTTCCCTCTCCTACTTTAATGTGTGTTCATAAGTGTTTCATAGAAAATGCAGAAAATGGAAAATGTAGAAAATGTAGAAAAATAGCTAAATTATAGTATATACAAAAGATTTTAATTAAATTTTAAAGTAATCAAATTTATGTATGCAGAAGCTACTCATATGAGCAAGAAAGATCCGGTATCTATATTCATTAATACTTAGAACTATACTTAGAATTTAGTTATATATTATTGCTCAGCACTGCTTATGCTGGCATTTAAAAAGAGAAAGTTTGTAAATAATATGAATTGGCACTGCATAAAGAAGAACTTCTGCAGTAGAAATTAATCGTTTTGCTATTTCCCAGCAAGTACTACGTTTTTGGGTAAACTGCTAATTTATTATGATCTTGTGCCTCTTGGAAATTAAAATTCATGGATTATAGGTATACTTTTGTGCCAAGGCAGTGCAAAGCCACCAAGATATGCCTTCCTTACTATAGTGACTCTGGGATCAATAATCATTCAAACAGAGGCTTACATAGCCTGTTACAATCCCATCAAACTGAGAACATTTGCATAGAGATTTGAAGTGATAATCCTTTTATTGGGAAGCATGTCTCCTAAGAACATGTTTCAGTATTTTCCCCTTTGGTTACAGTTAATATATAGAGTGGGCTGAATATTAATGAATAGGTCCATTCATGTATCTTAAAGATGCCTCTAGTCAAATGGTTGAATTAATAGTCAAACAGCATGACAGAAGTTCTTTACTGCATCATTTGCACTATAGTGTACATGTCATTTTGATGTCATTGTGGTTTGCTATATGCTCAAATGTATGATTGAATTATTATTGACAACAACTTTATTTACAGTGCCCTTCATGGATAGTCGGCAACTAGTGGAGAAAAATCCGTAGAGACTCCTTTTTCATGTATAATGTTCAATTCTGAGCATTTTTTAAGGTTCCTCATAGTGTTGAATCCATTTTTAAGCTTAGATTTTGTTTTAAACATTCCATGTACATTTATTTGCATATTTATAACTGTCTAAACCTACCTATCAGTAGCTTATTTATGATATGCATAGGACATTTACTTTGTTTTTATTAATACAAAATAACTTAAAACTTTGTGGGAGAAAAGTATATTTGATAATGTTCTGAGCAATATTTTTACTTTTGGGGAGGAAGATAGTTCTCCAGAGCTCTTAAATGAAAATCATTCTGTATTAACCATTATAATCCACAAGGCAGGACTTTCTTCCTTTAAAAATTTAAGTAGAAAATTAGCTTTATTATGTCTTTTTTTCAGATTTCAGCATGCATAAAATTGTTTTAAGAAGATGCCATATGAAACTTGAGTACTATACCATAAGCCTATTTCTCTGTCAGGATTTTTGGGAGTGGATTGGGGATCTCTGAGCATTGAAATGTATCCAATAGTAATAAAAATAGAACTCCTGTAAATCTTATATTTGCTGTAATTCTACTTCCCGAAAAAAAGTATTTTGATTGTTACTTGTACTACTTGTACTATTTATTCATAGTAAATGATAATAAATATTTTCTTTCTTATTCTTTCTATGATATCTTATAAATGTAAATCTGATGTTATATGATCACATTTAACTTAATAATACACATATGGCAAGGCACTAATTCCCCACTTGCCAATAATACATATACAAAAACACAAGCCTTTTTAACCTTACTTTTCAACTGCCTTAAGATATTAAAAGGAAATTGTACAAAACAAGTTGTTATGATGATCATTTGATAATTATCATTAAAAGGTTGGACTTGGGAAATAGTCACTACTGTAATGATTTGTGAAAAGTATTAAACAGATAGAGAAGTCATCCAACAGGTAAAGAAGGGACTAATGCCCGTATTTAGGACCTTTTCTGTCCATTTAAATTTTTAAGTTTTTATATTTTTTTGAGCTTTGTTGCCGTTGCAAAATGTATTGCTTTTACTTTAACATCTTCAATTCCATTTGCTGTTTAATTATTTTCTTTCAGACTGATTACTCAATTTTTAGATTATTAAAAAGTATTTGTAACGTACTTTCATCAGTGATATAGGAAACTGACTTATAAATATCTTGAGATCAGGGTTATGGTTACTGCTGGATATATATATATTTTTTGAATAATGCTTTTAAATCACTTAAATGATAGTAACAGACTGAAATGTAGTTCATTTTTAAGAATATTTAAATATATTTTAGTTGCAGTTATTCCATATTGTTTTTTTATTTTTATATCATGTGACGTAAAAATATCTACTGAATAAAGCTGAAGTAATAACTAGAAAATATCCCTACATATCATATTAGTTATTTATTTATTTATTTATTTATTTATTTATTATTTTAATTTGTATACCGCCCTTCTCCCATAGGACTCAGGGCGGTTCACAGCATATTAAAAACAAATAATAAACACAAAATACAAAAAATTACAAAATACAAAAATACAGAAAATAAACCCCGATAAAAGCCGAATTAAAACCAAATATTACAAGCTGTGTTTCCA